AAAATCAAGAACCCCAACTACAAAGGGAAGTGGAAGGCACCAATGATTGATAACCCAGGTTTTTCTTTTCTTTCATATTTGAAGTCTCTGTAACATTCCTTTGTCATGTTTATGTTACATTTTATATGTAAATATAATGTGTAAATTTATCCCTAGTCTATATATAATATATACAAAAAAAGAAATAAACATAATAAAGACTCGTTAAATTCCAAATAAGGTTACATGATAGAAAGTTTATTTTCTAGTTATTTTAGAAGCTGAAATTGTATTTTAATTAGAAATGTGACATTTTTAAAAAACGATACAACTCTATTCTTATATATTATATGAACTTTTTAGTTACAAAATGAAAGATTAAACATAATAAAATCTCATTAAAACCCAAATAAGATTATAATAACAATACGTTTTTTACTTTTTTTTTTTAGAAAATAAAGTTGTAAATCAATGAAAAGAACAATTCCGTTCTTTCCCTGATTCCATCTCACAAAACACTCGTTGACATTAATTTTTTTGTTTTTAAATTTTAGATTTTAAGGATGACCCTGATCTCTATGTATTCCCCAAGCTGAAGTATGTTGGCATTGAGTTGTGGCAGGTAATTTTCTTTTTTGCCTTAATATTTTTAATAAAAATTTAAAACAAATATAAAATTCTCAAATTGGTGTTGTGTTATTTTTCAGGTAAAATCTGGAACTTTGTTTGACAATGTATTGATATGTGATGATCCTGAATACGCCAAACAACTAGTGGAAGAAACTTGGGCCAAACAAAAAGATGTAAGTTACTTTTATAACTATATAAACTTTTACTCATTTTCGATTATAACATATTATATATATATATATTCTCATGTTATAATTAAATGATTGTGATCATCATCTTAGGCTGAAAAAGCTGCATTTGAAGAACTAGAAAAGAAACGAGAGGAAGAGGTATGATATGATTCTTTTCTCCAATTTTTGAACTTCATTTTTTTTAATGTAAAGAGATCTCTCAATTTTTTTGAAACCAAATTGTTATTAAGTTATAAAAAATTATTTATATAATGGTTTTTTTTTTTCTAACTATTATACTCTTCATTGGTTTCTGTTTACAGGAATCCAAGGATGATCATGTTGATTCTGATGTATGCCTCTCTCTCTCTCTCTCTCTCTCTACACTTTTAGAGTGTGTTTGGTTTGCGGATTCCGATGGAATTGGAATTTGAGATTCCATTCCATAGTGTGGGCGGAATTGAATTCTGTTCTTCATTTTTATTAAGAAGATCTAACTACCATAAAAATTAAATAAATACAAAAAAAAACAGTTTTATATACTTACAATTAAAAATTTTTGTATAAAATATAATACAAATTATAAAGAATATTTAATTTTCATTGTCAAATTTCCTTTCCATTTTCGAAAGTGTGACTAATTATGATTTTCCTTAGATTCCAATTCCTCCAATTCCATTGATAGATTTCATTCCTTCCAAAAAACATTTTACAAACAAAACTCCACCGTGGAATTCTCAATGGAACATGGAAATTTTAGTCCCTATTTATTTTTTTCTTTTCCATTTAATGCTGAGTGGATAAATAATTTTTAAATATATATATATATATATATATATATATATATATATATATATATATATATATATATATATATATATATATCTGAGAAAATGCTAGCACATTTTGGAAAAGGGAAGGAAAGAACCAACAAGGGCAAATTTGTAAAAAGTTAGCGACTCATTTGGAAGGTTTCGTTTCCATGAAAAAGAAACAATTATATTATATATAAGTAAAAAGTTTAATATTATGAGATGAATGTAATTTAGGCTGATGATGAGGGCAATGATAGTGGTGATGAAGCCGAACCCGAGGAGGAAGAGGAAGCAGATGATAATGATGTCAAGGTAAAATAATAATAATAAGAATAAAAGTTCAAATTCTAATTTCTTAAATTACCATTTAACCCCCTTTTTTTTTTATAATTTACTTCTCGCAGGATGAGCTATAGGGGGGATATCAAATTATTACCAATTACAAACTATATCCAAAATATAAAGTTGAGAGATGTTAGACGTTGAGATTTTCCCCCTTCTTTTTATAGCTTTATATATTTTAGGCCTTCGGAATATGGATAGAGATATAAAAACAAATTTAAGGCTGTGGATTCAGATCTTGTGTATCGTTGGATTCAATTGGCATCTCGACTGTTGAAGGGAGGGAAAAATATGTGTGTAGTTTGAGGCAAAAAAAAAAAAAAAAAGATTTTTAGTTCACGTGTTAAAATATTACTCTGTTCGTGTCTCTCTTATCATATATATCTAATTTTGAGTAATGTGTTTATTAGAAAACTACCACATATCATCTCCACTCCATTATATTATATGTTTACTAGCTCTTGAAAACTTGAAAATGGTTATCTTTCAATATTATTATTATTATTTTGACATTATATTAAATAAAGAACACGATTATTAAACATAAATAGATATTTTATAAATAAAAAAAGAACATTAACTTAAATAAAAATAATATTTTTAAAATTCAACATAATTTTACTAATAAAAAAACAACATTAATCAAACATTGAAATTGAAAAAAAAATATTACTCGTTGTCATCGTTGTCCTCAACGTTGTATGCATCCTCATCCTCCTTGTCGTCATTGTCATTGTACTCTTCGAGTCGTTGCCAGTCAAATCTTGATGTAAATTGTGATGTGTTTCACTATTTTGTATTTCCAAAAGCCTTGTAAAGCATGTTGGGTTTCCGACTTGTCGTACTGCAAATAGATTGATCGTTCATCTTCTTCATGTTATGTAAAATAACACACGCTTTCATCACCTTCATCAATTTTCCATATCCCATGCTCGTGCTGGATGCTTGATTATGTGCCACTTCTGTTTGAGGACTTAAAATGCACGCTCTACATCCTTCCTTGCAGATTCCTGGGCTAACTTGAACAATTTCATTTTTCATCGGTTGGATATGAGTATAATTTGACAAATGTAGCATACTATGGATATATCCTATCACTAAGGTAATATCCACAATTGTATTCATGTCCATTTACAATGTATAATATGTTTGGTGTTTTACCCTGTAAATGTCGTTAAATAACGAAGATACTCCAAGCACATTCAGAGCGTTGTTTGACCCCGCCATACTAAAAAATGCATGTCAAAACCATAGGTCATGTGAAACAACTGCTTCTAGTATCACAGTTGGTACGCCATGATCACCTCGTGCGAATTGCCCTTGCCATGCATTGGGACAATTTTCCCACATCCAACGTGTAAAAATCAAGGCTATCAAGCATTCATGGAAATCAATGTTTAGCTTGATGTGCAACATACAACTGTTCGACATCACTTCTAGTTGGATTTCACAAGTATATATTACCGTAAAACTCTATAACATACTCGCAAAAAAGATATGTGCATTCTCAACCGGTCCTCAAAGACATTTTCAAATATTCATCTAAAGCGTGTGTGGCTATACCGTACGCCAATCGTCTAAGAGTTGCCGTGTATTTTGAAATGTAGGAAAACCATGTTTACCTCTAGCATTATATCTCAATTGAAAAAATATAATTGTTTTTCAAATCTCTAGCTATACATTCGAATAATTTCTACTAATACGAAAACGATCTTCGAATTTCGATAGTGGTATAAACTATCACTGGTAAACTAATCACATACCAAAAGTTCGTTTGTTGCAATACGATCCCCATTGATCGACTTTCTACGTTTCTTCTCGGCTTGAACTTTTGCCTCTTTGACGCACAATGTCGTGTGCATAGACAACAACGTGTGCATAATCAACTCATCATCATTATAATCATAATCAGATAAAAAAAAGAAAAGACACCAAAAAAATTATTTATATTGTTGGGTGTATTTGTTGTGAGATATTTGATGTGTATTATGTGTTTGGATATATAGGTGAAGTTTTAATTTATAAAAAAAAAAAAAATTATTTGCTAAATGGTCCCAAATTGAATGCCAGATGGTCAAAATTCGAATTAATCAATGAAATCTTCTGTGAACCTCCGTAACCAACCTCAATATCTGCGTCGCATTTACTCATGTGGGAGCAGTGTTCACGCGTTAACAACCCCTTCAACTAGATCCTTACCTGCTAATTTTCCCCATACCCATGACCTTATGCTACATATATGTCTTGATATTTTGCTTACATACCATCCTATCTCCTATATGAAGAAAAAACTCCTCAGCCTTGTCTACAAATCTACATTAACATCCTTTTTTTTGCTACTTCTATCACTCTAACATCCTTAATAAATTACAAGTTTTTTTTTTTTTTTTTTTTTTTTTTTTTTTTTTTTTTCATAAGAATTATTATTTTATAATTGTAAAAGGATGTCAAAAGATTCCAAGCATAATTCCATATTACATGATGCCTTGAGAAGTGTCCCCATCAAAAGTCAAATTTGTTGAAGAATAGATGTGTTAATAATGAAGCAAACTTTATTGAAACACATAGACGTTGAATGTCGTCAAATTAATTTAATGTGGGTCTGATGGTCAAATTAATTAATGTTTGTGTTTGGTTAGAATTTGTAAAACTTTAACCCAAGTAATTATTATAGAACATGTTACTATCAAAAAGGTCATTCAATTAATACATAAATGAAGATTATAAATCAAAGAGAAAGGAATGGAATGGACGTGATTCCTCTAGTTGATTTTCATTCCATGAGGAAAAGGCGTTTTTTTAATGGAATTAATTAATTAAATAATATATCTGTTATAACTATATATTACTTTTTATTTTTATAATACACTAATCTTTTTCACAAAACTTGAAACTTAAATTAAATCATTTTTTCATTTTCAAAATAATTTCAGTTTAATTTTATTTTATGGTTTCATAATATTTTTTTTTGAGTATCTGAAATACACACGAGTATATAACAATATATCTTTATTTGATTAAAGTTCAGTTTTTAATATTAGATTTTCATTTATTCATCAAGTTTTCAAATTGTGCATAACAAACAACATATTGGAATGACATATTACATTCTTTTAAACCAATCAAACTTGACAATGAAATGTAACGATCCATTCTATTCTTTTATCATTCTACTTCATCATACCAAAATAGATCCAATGAGATTATGATAAAAAAACCATAAAAACCTACCTCTCCAAGGTAGTGTGGTTATGAAGAAAAGTGTGAAAATATAAAGAGTCTACCATTGATGAGGTTGCAATGTTGAAAAGAAATATCTATAAATCTTTTGCTAAAAATAAGTTTATTAAATGTGATGACAGATCTCATAAAGTTTGAAGGAATGGTAGTGATTAGACTGACAAGTTCCAAAGAAGGAGTAACTTAAACACCAACCAAAATGATAACAACTCCAAATTGACGCATTATCGTTGTAAAGTAAAAAAAGCCACTAGACAAACAAGTGCATTAAAAAAACAAATTCAAAAATGAAAAGAAAACGTTTATGGATTATGCTTGGAGTTGTAGTGAAAATTGAATTTTTTTTCTTGAAAGGCCATAGCACAAATATACAGTGAAAAAGATAAAGTTGTTAGATAAATTCTTCAAACAAAAAGGAAAAGTAGTGCTTGAAAATGAAAGGTGTTTTGCATGTAAAAATAAAGATTATACTTGGTAGTATGAAATAAATTATTCTCTTGTAAACTAGAAAAATGTGGAAAATATGCTATGTGCTAAATGTGATGAAATGAAGGAAGAACTAGCATGTTTTAAAGTGAAATGTGGTAATATTGCTAAAAATGACGTGTTACCATCTAATTATATATATATATATATATATATATATATATATATATATATATATATATATATATATATATATATATATATATATATATATATACACTAGCCTTCTACCCGCGCAAAGCGGCGGACGACGAATAATTTGATCTCTTTAGAGTTAAAACCATTTTGTGTTCACTTCGAGAAATGAATATTAAATGACATCTATTTTTCAAGAGAATTATCATACCATATTAAGGGGGTGTTTGGCTAAGCGTTTTTAAAACAACTTATTAGGTTCCACATCACTATAAGTTAAAAAAGTGTTTGGATTAAAATAATTTATTCCGGTGGGGAACCTCTAATACGTTATTTTTTCATAAGTTACCTTACACTTACTTATTAACTTATAAGCTAATAAACTAATAAGCAATAACCTTTTTTGCCAAACACCCCCTAAATGGTTATTCTTTCCATTTATACATACCCAAACCACTTGTACTGTTTATCGTCATTTTTTTTTCCTTAATTCCTTTATTAATTTAATATCCTACTAAGTAAAATGCTAAAATATATAAATAATAGAGAAAATTACACGGTTGGTCCCTATGGTTTGCTCTTACTTGCACGCTTCGTCCCTGGAAAGAATTTTTAACTCGGACAATCCCTATAACTTTATTTTGTTACCCTCCTAGTCCCTTAGTTAACTTTCCGTCTTATTTGGGGTTAGGAACTACTCATGTGAGTGGCACGCTGGGGGCATTTTTGTCCTTTCAACCCTACAACGGACTTAAAACTACTTCTCCTTCCTTCTTTTCTCAATCGGTGCTTCTAGTTCTCCTCTTCTACTCCATTTCTTTTGCTCGTGAAGATTGAAGATCCACAAAATTGATTATGGTGAAATGCAAGTGTGGAGCTGTAGGGATCATACGAACTTCAGGAACAAAGAGAAATCCTGGTAGGCCTTTCTATGCATGCCCTTTACAGGTATTGAGTTATCAATTTTTTTTGGTAATTTCTAAGATGAACCCTAGTTTGTGCTAATCGAGGGTATTGCAAACTTCAGGGACCAAGAAGTGGATTTATTTCGTGGGTAGATGAAGAAAATCATACGTATGAGGCTGAAAGCCAAAATCTTGAGCTTGAAATCCATAATGAAGAACTTCAAATCCAAAATCGTGACCTTGAAATCCAGAATGAAGAACTTGAAATCCAAAATCAGAACCTTAAAATGTTGTTAATTGTCAGTTGGATTTTGTTTTTTGGGATAATTGTTTACAAGTTGTAGTATTAGGTATTTCAGTAGTGGTTTTTGGTTGAAGATAATCTAATGAATGGGTAATATTAGCATGTTTGTATTGCTGCATTTTAATGAAATGGTATATTTTGGTACAATTAATAGTTTCACTTTGTTGTCTTATAAAAGATTACAATGGATTATTACCATCTTGTATTGCTGGAATTGGGAGAGAAAGGGTATCTATTGGTACAATTAATAGATGCAATGCAACTGTAATCTTTTGGTATTTTTCATTTAACATATGACCAAAAACATACCAAATGAAATGAACAAAAAACATGCCAAATAATCCATTATATAACATTAAATGAAATAACCAAACACATGCCAAATGAAATGTCCAAAAACATACCAAATGAAATGACCAAAAACATACCAATAATTGATCCATTAGATAGCATTAAAACAAAAGCATTACATAAGAGTTTAACCAAAAACAAATGTCTAAGTACCAACTGCAATTGTTTTGGTGATACCAAACACAATACAGTTTAATCAAAATACAAACATCACATGACATAATAGTTTAACCACAATACAAACATCACATTACATAACAGTTTAACCAAAATAAGAGCATCACATGATAAAAGAGTTTACAATGGATCCTTCTTTTTACCTTTCTTCTTCTGTTCTCCTTTCTCATTCTCTTTTCCTTTATCCTTGTCTTTTCCTTTCTCCTTCTCTTTTCCTTTCTCATTCTTCTTTTTTCCCTTCTTCCCAACAGTTGGTAACTACCCTTTGCAAGTCCTGGCATTGTGTCCTTTGTTGGTACATTTGGTACATGTAACAGTTTTTTGTGCTCTAGAAACTGTATTCCCTTTGATCATATCCTCTTTTTCTGTAGCTGACTTCCTTCGTTTCTTTTTTGGTCTTCCTATTGGGACACGGTGTTTTGGAGGCAACAAAGTAGTTGGACAAGGTGACTTAATCCACATTCTTCTACCATTTATCAGATCCACTTTGAAAGAGTACATGTTCCTCCAGGTTGATAGCCAATAACATTCATGAACAAAGGTTTCTGGAATACCAATTGCACCATTATTTCTCTTCATGTCCCAGATTGCAGATACAGCATGTTTGCATGGGATTCCAATTATTTCCCACTTATTGCATGAACAAGTTCGTTGATTCACATTCACTACACACTGATCTTGCCAAGGTCCACTCACTTGGTACTTCCCATTTCAACAAAATGATGTTGTATACTCCTCTGCCTGATCTTTGATCTTTTGCAATAGCTTGGTAGCTGTTGGAGTCAAAGGGCCTGTTGCTTTGTCAATTTCTTTTTCAACATTCACAATCCTCTTCATGATGTACTCCCGGATGAACTCTAAGCAATTGATAGTTGGTGTGTCACGTCCGTCTATTATTTTGCTATTAAAGCACTCGCATATGTTGTTTATCACAATATCAAAATGTGCTCTCCCTATTAATTAATAGAATACATGTATAATTGGTTAGCAAACATTAGAGTATACAACAATAGTTATCATATATTATAATATATAACATGGTCAAACCTGTAAAATGAGAACGTGCCTAATGTTGAGGTGGTATTTGTTTAAGCCACTAATAACATTCTTGGTTTAATTTTCTAACTTCTTCCATTTCTTTTTCAAACTCTTGCACAATATATGTTGTTGAACAATTCCAAAGCAGTTCTTTAAACTTATCCGCTCTCCAACGTGACCTCATATTTTCGTGTATGTGGCGAACACAATAACGGTGCTCTGCACAAGGAAACAAATCTGCGATGGCAGAACTTAAACCCTACAAGAAAGATACATTATGTCAATGATTTCTTTTCCTTTAGATATTAGTATTCAAAACACAAGAAAATAACCTTTTGCCTGTCTGATATAAATGTAAAATTTGAATTTGAAGCCAACCGTAGGTCATCACCCAAGTGAGTTAAAAACCATGTCCAAGAGTTCAATGTCTCAGCTTCAACCACAGCATATGCTAAAGGATATATTCCATTATTCCCATCTAAAGCCTGTGCAATACAATCCAATAAATAAAAGTAAAAAATAAATCAAAATATATGGTTCAACCACAACATAAGAGAAAATGTACCACAACAGATAAAATTTGACCATGGAAAGGTCCTTTCATGAAAGCCCCGTCTACCCCAAGAAAATCCCTCTTCCCTGCTGCAAATCCTTGCTTCAAAGCACCAAGGCACACGTACATGCGCCTGAAGGTTCTTGTCTCAACATCAGGATTTGGTTCACTTTCGACATCAAGCTTGATAGTGGTGTCTGGGTTTTGAGTCTGCACTTCTAACAAATAATCTTGTAAGATCTTGTACTGAGTGGCATAATCACCCCTGATAATTTTTAAGGCTACTTCTCTTGCCCTAAAGGCTTTCATCTTAGAAATATCTACTTTGTAGATACGTTGAAGTTGTTCCCTTAAAGCCTTGACTGGAATTTTTGGGTTTGCTTCCACCAGGTGTAGAATTTGCTTTGAAAGAAACTTGTAATCACAAACCCTAAACTTTCTTGTTTGAAGACATTTATGTTCACTAACATATGTTTTAACTGTCCAATCCTTGTCACGTTTTGTAACGCCTGTGTTTCTGGGCTTGCCATTTTTAGAAATGTAATAGTCTAGGTTAACCTTTGTAACCCGTTTTGAAATAATATAAGTGTATTATTTGAGTATTATGTGTTTTGTGCTTAATTGCTTAATTATGTGGTTTGATTAATTAAGAATAAAAATAAGTGTCAAAATTGAAGTGTATAATAAACTTGATATCTTTAGATAAGGTTGTAGTAGTTGAAACAAGGTTTCCGAGGATATAAAGAATGCCGAAATCCGAGTTATAACGAAGAAGTTATGACCTGTCGAAGTTTCGCGACAAAACCGGTACCGCTGAATGACGTAAAAAGTGAAATTTACGTTAGAGCGATATTTAGCCTTAGTGATCTAAACGAGAATCGAAGATCTCGTTGTTAGTATCAAAGAAACAAAAAGTTAGGCGAGAACGGACGTCAAACGAAGAAGTTATGAATTTATAACGAAATTTTCTGTCCCGGCCTATTAAAAATAAATAATAAAAATAAATTCAAAATTAGTCGACGGAGTCTAAACGAAAGTTGTAGAGCGTAGTCTCACCTTCGCGTGGATATAAAGAACGTCGAAAACGGAGTTCGCATGAAGGAGATATGAATTTTCGAAGTTTATTAAATAATTAATAATTAAAATTAATTATTAAATCCGGCCTTATCCGAAGACGAGTCACCAGACTCATCCGGAGTACGCCCCGCGTACAGCAAGAAATGTCGACACTTCGGATGACGCATGCAGTGATGACTTCGGAGCCCTGTACACCCCCGCGTACAAGCGTACACCCCGCGTATGAGGAGGTTCCAGCCTCCTATAAATAGGATGCGAGGGGTCCGGGCATAGTTGCTCATCTCTCCTCCGTTTCGTGCCGAAGCTCTGCGTTTTTACCCCCGAAGCCACCCCGAAGCCCCGGGTAATATTCCCGAGTCCCGAAGCAAGTCCCGAGATCCCGAAGATCCCGAGAAGTGCGGTTTCCGAGCCGAAGCTCTGCCCGCGAGAAGTTCGATTTTTGTAGGGATCTTCCAGATCTGCTGAGGATTACTACTTTTGCAAGTCGTAGTGCTGTCCGATCATCTTCTGATCAAGTGAGTGTATACTACCTTTCATAAACGCAATAATAATACAAGTATGGTTTGAGTGTATTATGTATATTGTTGTTTATACGTGTGAGTGCATTGTTACTTTCTCCTAACGTATAATTATGAAGTATTTTTATACGAGATACATGTTACGTGTATATTTTGTTGTTATGTGTGTGAATGTATATTCACATTCTTCTATCTTACAGATCTGATTATTTCTATACGAAATATGTGTTATGTGTGTGTGCCTCATCTGTTATATGGAAAATGTATTGATCGAGCATGCTATACAGGTTTTGAAAATATGTATAAAAATGTATGTTTTTATCTACTAATATGTTGGGTAGAACATGGGTAGATAATTGGTGTGTAATAAACAGATGAGAGGCCTCGTTGTTGTTTTGATCCAGTCATCTAGCGGAATTTAGATGACGACCACGGACTTTTCTAGACAGTCTAGTGGAACGCTAGCAGGCTCATAACCTGTAGCTGTTAATGAACTTGGGTGTTCATTCGCCGTATTCCATCCCCCTTATGGTTGCCTTATTTGACTTATATTGCTGAGGAACCCCCACAGCATGTGTTGTCACCCCGATGAAAATATTCTTAGATTAGGTCCCTTGTGTTAGTTATTTTAGGGACGTAAAGTGAGAATAACGAGAATGGGTAACTGGGTTATTGTTGGTTGATAATAATTAATTTAATCATTTATTGTGGGTTGAAAACCCTATATGCTCACCAGGCTCCCAAGCCTGACCCACTCAGTTTTATTTGTATTACAGTAAGTGGCGCAAGGGCATAAGATGGATGAACCATCAAGTTGTTTTGTTTACAAGTCTGTATATGTATATATTTGTTGAATGACTTGTAATGTTATTGTTTATGCTTATTGGTCTGTATCGGAACATGACACCCCGAGTTTTGATTATATAATGAAAAATACATTTCTTTTATGAAATGCTTTGGTAAACATTGTTTTATCATGTTTTGTTTTTGGGAACAAATTCCGCAACTCTTTCAAATCAAAAGGATTTACTCTGAATTTATTTTAAAAGCATAAATGAAAATCGGTCTTTTCTGGCCGTGATTTTGGGGATGCCACACGTTTCCACTTACTGGCTAAAAGAACCCTAGGACACTTACCTTCTTCATTGACTACTTCTTGACCGGTCCCACCACCTAGGCTTGTTATGGTTCCCCTGCATACAACCCTTACTCTGTTTTTATCATTCTTCTCAAAATCCAACTCCCTTCTTGTATCTATTGCATGTTGGTTAACCCTATCTTTAAACTCCTTTGACAAATTAAATTTCTGATATAAATAGAAAGGCTCACTGACTTGAGCATTTTCGTTCTCATGCGCCCTTCTAATAACTTTAATCTTTTTGTTTCTTTCTCCTTCTATCCCATCATCCGATGAAGAGTCGGACAAGAAAAGTTCCATATCTATAACTTCAAGGTCTGCTTCATTCCCATCTTCTGTAACTACATGATTCTTTCTTTTAGAAGCACCTCCAATCCACTCAACATCTGGTTCAACATTCAAGTGGAATTCTCTCATGTCAACTTCAACATCATCAATGATATTGTCTTCGTCCACAAGAAAGTCACCATCTTGACTCTCACTATCATCACCACTGTTGATCTCATCACCACTGCTATTATCATCACTACTATGTTCAATTTCAGTTTCCATGATGTTTGCATTATCACTTACCATGTCCACCTTGTCAACTGAAGGCTCATTTCTAGTAGGTGAAATAGGAGGGTTGTTTCTATTAGGCTCAAATGTCAACACATCATTAGGCTCAACTTGTGTATCATGCCATTCCAAAAACAATCTTTTTGGGGTACAATCAATCTCAACTATACGTACCTTAGATGGGTTTGGTGACATCGAGTATGTGTGTAATTTCGTTTGCCCGTGCTCTGTATACACCTCTATTAGCTTATGTTGGCCAACATATTTTGCTAAATGCCTTACATCATCATCTGAAGCTAAAGCAAACAAGCCAAAATCCAAATCGCACAGTGGCCTTCGAAAATGATAGTACATCTCCACATGTAGATTTTCATCGATATACCCAAGTTTCACCATCATGTCATCAATATCGTGAACACAGAAAGTCTCGATGTCTATTAACTTAACGTAATGTATCTTTCCGTTTACATACTTCCTTCCAGGAAAATCAGTAAACTTTCCACCATGGTTTAATAGCATGCAAAACATGGTCGGATGATCACCTATTAAGGAAATGCCCCAAAATTTTTGATTAACATTTGATTAGGGTTGTAGGATTTCACGAAGCAAATGCAAATAAAAATGAGATTAGGGACTAGGCGGACTTACCATATTAAAGACGAACTTCTGCTTCACTGATCATCCGTCCTCGTGCTTCACTTAAATTCCCAACCGGCATTGTTGATTATTTGGAAAAGCATACAAAGTTTTAGCTAGCGACTAGGGTTTTCGTTTGAGAGAAGAAAGGGAATTCGTCTGACAAGTGTGTGTTTGTGTGTGTTTTGGTTTGACGATGATCGGAATCGTAAAACCATCCATCTTCTAAATGGCGCTAATATATTGTAGGGTTGAAAGGACAAAAATGCCCCCAGCGTGCCACTCACGTGAGTAGTTCCTAACCCCAAATAAGACGGAAAGTTAACTAAGGGACTAGGAGGGTAACGAAATAAAGTTATAGGGATTGTCCGAGTTAAAAATTCTTTCCAGGGACGAAGCGTGCAAGTAAGAGCAAACCATAGGGACCAACCGTGTAATTTTATCTAAATAATAGTTTATAAAAATAAACCTTTAGAATATCAGGTGTTGTGATTCAAAAATCGATAGATAGGCCTTTGAGAGGCCAAAATACTAAGGTGTCAATTTGTTCATTGCGATTTTAAACCAAGTTTGGTCACAAATTAAAACATTTTCAACGATGGTATGTAATTCAAGGATTCATATTGATTTAGGTTCTTGAAACTTTAAAATATTGAACAAAATCTATATAGAACCTTATAATAAGGACAATAATCACCGTAATCAGGAAGTTCATGTGATGAAACTTGATATTATAAGGACCAATGATGAAAAATGTTTCATTTTTAGACTCAACAAGATGAAAAATATACAAACTACCTTAATCATGTCAAATCTTGTGTTTAACCGTTCTTTATTGCAAAAGTAAGATGCCAAAATATACAAACTAATGATAATACAATGCTCTAACTGGCCCTATTGGTTAAGTTCTTTGAACCTGCAAAGCCAACACATTAAAGAAACATAGAAAAAACCTTTTTAGGAACAAACCTGATATAATAAAACCTTCACCCAATATATTTATAAGATAAAAATACAAAAAGTTAAAAATGGTGAAATCAATTATAAGTAAGGATTAAAATAAAAACCTGTTAAGAAAGAACCATCTGCAGGAGGGATATTTGAATCAACATGTATTTTCTGATGATTTCAAATTTTGAATTATCCGAAATTCAGGGAAGGAGATAGAATTTTTTGAGAAATATAAGGATTCAAAACACAGGTTAAAATTTAATATTATTTTATTGATGACTACTTGTACTATTAGCTTAATGATTTGAACATCTTAAAAAAATAATATTATTATATTCAATCTATTTTTAGAAATAGTAGGATTTCTTTTATAAGATAGTATATATATATATATATATATATATATATATATAGAGAGAGAGAGAGAGTCAAGATCAAATAAGAAGGAAAATTTTGGTAGGAAGGTAAGAAACTTTTTATATGCATATTTTCTTAGCAAAAAAATATAATGAATCATTAGATGATTCAAAAGTAAGATGATTCATAAGAAAAAATTCCGAAAAAAACACCTTTATGATTCATTTTTAGGTAAATCAAAAAAAAATTCATTTTTATAACAATTTTAGTGAATATCAACAAAATCATCATAAAAATGAATCATCGAAATGTTATTTCGGGATTTTTTTGGTGAATCATCTGATTATTGATTCATTTAGTGATTCATTTGTTTTGTTCGCCAAAAAAATAAGTCGAAATTTTTTTTTCTTACCTTCCTACCAAAAAAATTTCTTACCGGATCTCTCTCTCTCTCTCTACACACACACACACACACACACACACATATATATATATATATATACTAATAAAAGAGTAGCTCTTTTGGTATGTGTTATCATATTAAACATTTTAATTAATGTGTTGCCACTTGTCAATCTATTAGTTTTTGCATTTTAAATTTATTAGACATCCTCGTTAATGTGATTCCAATTTAAATTTTAAATTTTAAAATATTGCTTTCATTAATTTACAAATAAAATCCCAATACTAATAAAAGAGTAGCTCTTTTGTCATGTATCATCATATTAGACATTTTAATTAATATGTTGCCACTTGTCAATCTATTAGTTTTCCATTTTAAATTTATTAGACCTCCTCATTAATGTGATTCCAATTTAAATTTTAAATTTTAAATTTTAAATTATTGTTTTCATTAATTCACAAATAAAAAATATCTAATATATATTAAAAATTAATTTTATATATTTATTTGAATCTTTGATTATAACTTCACATAACTAATAAAAATATCTCTTAAATTAATAATTTATTTAAAATAAATTATTTATAATTTTGAGTTTTTACTATAAAAGTTTGATTAATTTTATAACCGTGGTTTCCACGGGTTATAAGCTAGTATATATATATATATATATATATATATATATATATATATATATATATATATATATATATATATATATATATAGGCAAAGGTTCAAATGAGAACGAAAAAAGGTTAAGAACCGTAAGAATCTCTAATTTTAGATGTTTATAAAGGGTTTAGGGTTTAGGGTTTAGGGGTTAGGGTTAAGGGTTTAAGGTTTAGGGTTTAGGGGTTAAGGTTTAGGGTTTAGGGTTTAGGGTTACCCTAAATCCTTTATAAACATCTAAAGTTAGAGGTTCTTACGGTTCTTAACCTCTTTTGGTTCTCATTTGAACCACTCCTTATATATATATATATATATATATATATATATATATATATATATATATATATATATATATATATATATATATATATATATATATATATATTAAAGTTCTCAGGAAAAGGGATAGTAAATATTGTTTTTTTTGCCGAATTGGTCCCTGTATAATTGTTGGGCTTCAAAAGTTAGGAATAGTAAATTTGGATGTTTTTTGGCAACTTTGCTCCTCGTTCATTAACCGTTTTGACACTTTTGGTCCCTGCAATCAATATTTTTACACTTTTTAGGACCTTTTAATATTTAAAGTTTGGCCATAAAACTTTAACGGTTTGACAACTTTGATCCCTTTTCTAAAAAGTTGTTAATTCCTACCTCTTTAATTATTTAGCCATTTTGACACTTCTGGTCCTTGCAGTCAAATCTTTTACATTTTTTTTTTCATAAAAACATGAAAAAAGCGGTCCAGGGCAAAGCCCGGGCTATAAGCTCCTAACCGTATATAATTTTAAAAGCATACACGTAGCAAGTTCCATATAATCAACAAAGCTCAAATATCAGTATAACATGGCTAATTTGGGCCTTTACTACGGATCACATGTTTATTGGGCCTTAGTGGTCCATTTACATGTCTATTGGGCCTAAATTACCCTTTTATATGTTTATTGGGCCTTAGTGGTCAATTTACATACTAATTGGGCTTGGACTGAAAATCACATGCTTAGTGGATCTTAACTATCCCTCTACATATCCATTGAACTTCATATATTCATATACATACTTTTGGATTTGAAAACTTAAAACATGCACGTAAACATTATACTTGGTGCAATTCATTACTCGTGAACAAGTTGAGAATCTAGCAAGACTTGTCGGTTGACACCTTTAAGTGTATGATTGTAACCTGTAGTTATAACCAGAGTTTCCTGGAGGGAGAGTGGAAGTTTGTGTATAGATCTATAGGGGGTGACCCCCCACGCCTTAGTTGTACGCTACAACTATACTAGGCCAGTCTAAGGCGACAAACCTTACCTACATCAAAATCGGCGCCTGAAAACACCAAGACAGAGGAATTAGTCATTATCAAGCATGGTTGTAACGGCTCACTTAGAGACTAACTCCATAAAATATTTCGGTATATTTATACCCATCTTGACGATACTAAAAACATACATACATCGATACTTGGTCTTAGGATTTTTTATTACCTACTTTTATAAGAAGAAAATATCGGATTTTCTGGGATAAATACATTTATACATTACCTTCTACGTACAACAGAAAATACATGAATTTTATCTGGATTGCATTTTTGTTTACCTATACATTCCAAAAGCAGCAAACACACATGCATTAATACTTGATTTTGACACATTACTTTCAAATTATTTACAGAAAATATCAGATTTTCTGGTGTTTTACGAACTATTCAAACTTTTCATTCAAACATGCTTATGAACTCACCAACATTGTATATGTTGACATTTTCAAAATAACTTGTATTCTCAGGGAATCGATAAGCGGAAAGGTCAGCAGAGAATGTGTAAATTATTGTATTTTTTTATCATCGTATATTGAACTTTCATTTTGGCATGTAACTTATAATACTATACTTGATGTACACAATGCTGGTTGTATTTTAATATGTATGATGATGGTGTTGTTTTGTTTCAATTATATAGATTGTGATGACATTACAAGATGAAGTCACGCACAAGCCCCCGGACATTTCCGACGTCTAGTTCGGGGGTGTGACACTTCAGATGGTCATCCTCATCGTCATCAGCATCCTCATCCTCGTCGTCATCCTCATCACCATTCTCTTCCTCATCGTCAATATCACCCACATCCCGATGCCCTGTTGCAACTTCCTTAACCAGTCCTGCACCATCAAGTACTTCTTCATCTATGTTACCAACAACATCGTCTTTGTGTTCATCCAACCATTCCTGTATGTTACTATTCCCAAAATGGTCTACATAATACATACATAGGGAGTATAACACCACATTCATATGCAATTGCTATAAATTCGAAATAATCCGGGTCATTGCTAATTAAAGTCAAACCTTTTGGAAAATAAATATCAGGTTAGCAGCAATAAAGCTTCTCACACATTTCCCCATTGAACCTTTCGATGAACGCAACGCACCCGTCCTTTTCCATGGTTGCGAAATCGATATCCGAAAACCTCTGAGTAATTCTATCGGTGTAGCGTATGGGGTTTCTGCCAAACATTCCTTGGAAAGTGGACATCTACTTGTAAGAATACAGGTTCCATGTTTGAGGAATCAGAAGCAGATCACAATAAAGAGTTTATCGATGAAGTGTTGAATAATGGAAGTAAAATGGCTCTTTTATAAAGTATATACTAACAGTAAGAAGGAAGCGACTAATTAATGACATGACATTATACAAAAGTCACAATCAGCATCCGATGTAGTGTTAGTAGAAGGAGGTGGACTAAAAATGACCGGTTGACCCCTTCACAATTGAAATAAGGACTCAATCGACTTTACAAAGTGTAATTTGTTCCCTTATTAAGCCACAAAATAAGTTAAATGACTAAATAAGTAAACCTTAAAAACATAATAGGACATATATGTTATTTTTCCAGTATCTTTTATCTAATATGTTTTGCATACATTCCCGGTTTCCCATTGTACCAAAGATTATGACCATTGCAAATTCCTTCCACTTCTTTACTAATAATTTACTAATAAAGACCTTCATTGACGTTATAACCATATGCCATATCGTTCCTCTTCAAATTTATCACATGCATGTTTACAGTATGGAACAAATATTTTCTCTTTATCTTTTCAAAGTTCGTTCATGAACAAATATTTATACGAAAACGTCTACATGTAAAGCTCACATATGCAAAATCAAATGAAACTGGTTAAACCTTGTTTTTTCCTAAATAACATGTAATTTATTCGCATCAAACCCTATTAAATAAGAACCGAAAAAATTACTATTTTCTATATAAATAAATTCTCGTAAATAATTATAAATATGTCACAATTGCCAAATCGTTAAACAAAAGGGCTAATCTCGTAAATATCTAATTTCGTAAAATCTACTCTACTTCTTCAGTAGCCGGCTCGTAGTAATACCCAATCAACGATAGCCAGGTGGCACCTGTGACACAAACACATGACGTGTTCATCTATTATTGGTCCACGTGGTTTTATGCTCCAACGTGGATCCGTTTCTTCGAAAACTCAACGCTGATCCAAACGTCATTACCAAAGACGAAGTCCGCATATTTAAACCCCGCTCTCTATCTCGTGATCACACACACACTCTGTGTAGCGATGGCGAATCGGAGGTTAAACCCTACTTCTCTAGCCTTTCTAGCTCTACTTCTGCTCTTCTCGATCGCTTCTGCTAAAGTGTTCTTTGAGGAGCGCTTCGATGGTAAGTCTTCAATGAACATCGTTATGAATTTGCTTGCATTTTGAATCTATATAGACGTTTCAGTTCGTATGAACTTGTATTAGTCCGATTTGCTTAGGATGATCTGATCTATTCCGTCAAGGTTAGATATGTAAATTTGTAGTTGATCGATGAGAATAGTTGGTATATCAATCGAGATTGGAATGAATTGTATAATTTGAAGCCGTTAGCAGACTGAAGTCTTTAAGCGTCAATTTGATGTGTTGAAAGAGTGACGAAAGGAACTGATATCTGTTATTTTTAGTCTGGTTTTAGCATAGTATTTCTGCTTTTGGTCTAGTTAGGTGGCTGTTACGGCCATTGTGAGATATTGCTGTTATGCACAATCGTCAATGCCTGAACAGAATTATAAATGGTACATCGCTCTTTTAGGTGTGTTCGAATCAAGGCTATTTATCGATGGATCTGTTCTTTTCTTTATGATAGATCAACAAGTCAATCACGCCCATCCCTAGACATTGATTACTGTTTCTAGTGATGATAACAGTTCCACTATAGTAGCCCGATCCTTGGGACACATTTATGAGAAAAAAACATCTTCACCGTATTCAAAATTTTCAGCTTTCCCCATGTGGCTTCTGCAGAATATAGTTCGTTTTCAAAATAAGTTCTACATTCATGTAGCTAATTCTTGTTACATTACATAATATTTGGTTGTTTATCTAATACATCTGATTCAAATCATTCAATGTTTATCATCAGATGGATGGGAAAGCAGGTGGGTAAAATCTGACTGGAAGAAAGATGAGAACATGGCTGGGGAGTGGAATTACACTTCTGGTAAATGGAATGGAGATGCCAATGATAAAGGTAAGCCCTTTTGTGCAATGCAAAGGATTTTAAATATAAGTTTTTGCTTGGTCACGTACTTACATAAACTGTTTTTCTTTCTTTCTATCTGGTAATAGGTATCCAAACCAGTGAAGACTACAGGTTTTATGCAATTTCAGCTGAGTACCCTGAATTCAGCAACAAGGATAAAACTTTAGTCTTCCAGTTTTCTGTTAAGCATGAACAGAAGCTCGATTGTGGTGGTGGCTACATGAAATTGCTGAGTGGTGATGTTGATCAAAAGAAATTTGGTGGTGATACCCCATACAGCATCATGTTTGGACCTGATATTTGTGGGTATGCAACAAAGAAGGTTCATGCAATTCTCACATACAATGGAGAAAACAAATTGATCAAGAAAGATGTTCCTTGTGAAACTGATCAACTTTCACATGTTTATACCTTTGTCCTCCGCCCTGATGCCACCTACACCATCTCAATTGATAATGTTGAGAAACAAACAGGAAGTTTGTACTCTGATTGGGATCTTCTCCCAGCAAAACAGATAAAGGACCCTGAGGCCAAAAAGGTAATTGTACTTTGTTTCTTGACTTTCTTCAAAGTTAAGTCCCCCCCTCCCTTTTAATAGTAACTCAATTCTAAATAAATTTACAGCCTGAAGATTGGGATGAGAAGGAATTCATTCCTGACCCTGAAGACAAGAAGCCTGATGGTTATGATGACATCCCAAAGGAGATTTCAGACCCTGATGCCAAAAAGGTTTAATTTCTATTTCCATTATCAATTTTACATTTATGATTATTTAGTTTTTGATTATAATGAGGTAAAATTGCAGCCAGAGGATTGGGATGATGAGGAAGATGGTGAGTGGACTGTTCCAACTATTCCAAACCCTGATTACAAGGGTCCATGGAAGGCAAAGGTTTGTGTTTTTTCTTTTTAATTTTAAATGCACATTTTTATAACATTATATATCAATCAGTAAGTAAGTAAGTAACATATGTTATAAAAATGTTTTCCATTTGACAGAAAATCAAGAACCCCAACTACAAAGGAAAGTGGAAGGCACCCATGATTGACAACCCAGGTTTTTGTTCTTTCATCTCTTAAGTTGTTTTCAATCTTTGATTCTTTAACTTTTTTATTGAAAATGATTTTCTTTTTCTTTTTTTATATAAAATGTAGATTTTAAAGATGACCCAGATCTCTATGTTTTCCCCAAGTTGAAGTATGTTGGCATTGAGTTGTGGCAGGTAATTAATTTTATAATTGTATTGAATGCAATTTTGTTATCTTTTTTTGATTGAATGCTGAAATAAATGTGATGTTTTGTTTTTTTTTTACAGGTTAAATCTGGAACTCTTTTTGACAATGTGTTGATATGTGATGATCCTGAATATGCCAAACAAGTGGCTGAACAAACATGGGGAAAACAAAAAGATGTAAGTTGCTTTTTATACAAGTCTTTTAGTCTGTTTTCTGGTTTATTCTTTATATTAAATATTTTCAAATTCTCATTATGCTTAATTCTTTTTTTTTTTAGGCTGAAAAGGCAGCATTTGAAGAGCTAGAAAAGAAAAAGGAGGAAGAGGTATCAAATCTTTTTGTTCATTGTTTCTTACGTTCATATAATTATTTATTATAGCATAATACTTTAAAAAAATCTACCAAATTATAGAATCTTATTCAAATACTAAGCAATTTTCACTGCTATAATTGAGTATTTTTTTTTTATCAAAGTATAATATACTTTTTTCTTTTCCATAATTCTTTATTTTTTTGTCCCCCTTTTAGGAATCAAAGGATGATCCGGCTGATTCTGATGTAAGCTTTCTCTGACAACTTTTATTATGATTATTATTATTATTTTTAATTTTTAATTCTGGATTTTAAATTTATTAAATGTTATGTTTTTTTTTTCAGGCTGATAATGATGATGCTGAACCAGAAGATGATGAAGAGGCTGATGAAAATGATGTTAAGGTAATTATGATGAAATAGCAAATTTACTTTTATTCATTTGTTTATTATATCCCCTTTTGAAAGGGCAATACTGTAATAAATAAATAAATGAAAGTATAGTGCTATTTCTTGCATATGTCTCTTTTTGTCTACACACTGATTCTCATTCTTATTTTTTGTATTTATGTATGCAGGATGAGCTATAGAAGAGGCTTTCAGCAGTTAGAGTTTAAGATTTTTTTTTTTTTTTTTTTTTTTTTCTATTTTACTTTTAAGTTGAGTTTCTAGGACTTTTTTTTTTAATAGAGATTATAAACAACTGGAAATGTAATGCAGATGAGATTTTCTGAACCCTGAATTGAGAATTCCATTGGTCTCTATTTACTACAGGAATTTTATTGGAATCTGTTGTGGTGGATTGGAATTGGAATTGAAATTGAATGGAATGGCCATCTAATTACCTCAGCTTATGTTTTATCACTTTATCTAATATGATTTAATGTAAATCTATTTTTGTATTTTCTTTTTGGTCACTTGAGATATTTCGAACTACAAATAATAAATATATTTTCAAAGTATCAAAAGAGGAGGACTGTGTAAAGCAAGGCATATTTTAAAGTTCTAGTGTGTTTAATTATACAAAAGATTATATATATATATATATATATATATATATATATATATATATATATATATATATATATATATATATATATATTTCCTTTTAACTACGAAACAAAATGTCATAATACATCAGCATCAAAAAAGATATCGACATGCTTTTGATGGATGGCTGGCTATATAATATTCCAATCAAAGGTCCACTGGCTTCTTGAGAATTCAAGTCATGTCCACTTTCTAAAAAAACAATATGCCAAAAAGATATACAACGGAAACTTGGGAAATGAATTAAATGAATTTGGATCGATATTATGAATTTCATAAAAATATTAACTGGAGGCAGAATTGTAGGTGTGCGATTATTTTATTGGTTTATGTAAAAGCCGTTTAATATTTTTATG